CTGCTGAAAGAATCCTCAAAGGCTTTAATGTAGATGATTTGATGTCTGGTGCTGACACTCTAGAAGAAGCAAAGCAATTAGTCACCGAAATCTCAACAATTCTAAGCCATGCTGGATTTTTGTCCTTAGGAAATGGTCGTCGAACATACCAGGATGCTTGGCATACACAGTTTTGCTCGCGAACTGCTCATTTGCTAATAACTTTTCACAGAGTTGACGAAACATAGTTCTGTTTAAAGCAGTCGATAGAATAGAGTTTAAGCTTCTTATAGATTTGTAAAAAGGAGATTTTTATTCTAGTAGGGAAGAGCGCTACTTCGTCGTAATCGCCTATTTCCGTTCTATCGAGCAAAAATCATCAATAATATTAATGATTTCACAATGCACAAAACAATAATACGTTTGTTCCGATGCGTTAGTTCATTAGCTACAACATAAATCCTATTAGAGCGCATTGTATGCATATTTATGCTCATTGTTCTCAAAACAAAAGAAGCGCTCCTAGCGCATCCCCTTTTACTCCGTTTATCCGTAGGACGAAGAAAATCTAATGGCGTTTCAATGCGTTTGGACGGAATTGAAACGCGTAGGACGAATTTAGAAGCAAGAAGCAGTGTTAGATTTTTAATAATATCTCAACAATGTTTGACTCTTTATCAAATCCAACGGTACGTATGGAAAGGTGGATAAATTTAGAAGTTATCTTTGATGAAAACATTCCGTGTTTTGTTCAAACCCTTTCCAAAAAGCGTAGTAAAGTGCGCGATGTCCTTAGTAGGACGGAAATTAGATCAAAAACCCTAATAAACTGTATTTGATTTTGCATTGCAAAAATGAAGTGAAAAAAGCTCGCTGTACATCTCGGACTTCAAGAGTAAACATTCATTGGTGTTGATTCAAATGATAAGATTTACCTGCTCTTTTGCATGTCTACAGTAAACTATGATCCTAATCTATCAATTACTTTAAAGAAAATTAAATTTCAACAACTGAGTGAAAAGTTATTAACAAATGAGCAGTTGGTGTGTACAGCTGTGCATGCCAAGCATGCATACCAGAACTCGTCGAGGACATTGCAGATAGTAGAGATGGCCCAATTCCTTTGCAGTTCACAAATGACTCGGATTCTGTTAAAGCCTTAGGTTGGTCACCCAGAGAAGACTCGTTTGACTTCAAGGTGTATCTACACATTGATAGCAGCAACACCAAACGGCAGCTTCTGACGGACGCATCGAAGCTGTTCGATACTTTCGGGTGGCTTTCATCGTGCATCGTCAAAATCAAGATCCTGTTCCAGCAGCTCTGGTAGTACGACTTGACCTGGGATGACCCACTTCGCGCAGCAATTGAAAAAAAAAATAATTAAGAACAATATTCACCCGTTGGATTGTTAATCACGAAGGAAGAATGCAGCTTGTTGGGTTCTCAGACGCATCAGAGTCCGCATATGCCGCAGTAGTCTATGGCCGTTCGGTAGATCCGAACGGGGAAGTACGAGTTACACTAATCGCCGCTAAAACCAAGGTAGCACCTATCAAGCAAATTACATTACCACGCCTCGAGTTGAATGCTGCTGTGCTCCTGACGACGCTGATGAAGAAGATCTCTTCTGCTCTCAATCTGCAGATGCATGCTTGGTCGGACTCAACAATAGTACTAGAATGTTTATCATCGCACCCACGAAAGTGGAAAATATATGGGACAAATTTCATCGGTGCTGATCGCCAGATGCAGGAGTTTTTCCAATCCGATGAATTTAGAGCTCAAGCAAGCCGCTTTTCTTCGAACGTAGGCATCAAGTGGACATTCATACCACCATCCGCACCCCACATGTGTGGTTTGTGGGAGGTGGCAGTGAAGAGTGTCAAAACGCAGTGCTCAGTCGTGGACCGCAAACCTTCGAATATCTGTGTACTATTCCCAAGGAGAAGCCCGCCTAAATTCAAGACCGTTGTGTGCCATTTCCAACTCCAGGGCATTTCATCATTCGGCAGCCGACGTACCCGTTAATCGTTAATCGACTCGACTCTTGGCAGATATGTCAGAAGCAGCTAGAAGAAATTTGGCAGCGCTGGAGAAATGAATACGTTTCATCTTTGCAACCACGAACCAAGTGGCAATCTATGGAGGATAACCTGCAGATCAACAGACTTGTTCTAGTAAAGAATGAGAACACTCCACCAGCACAGTTGGAGCTTGCCCGGATTATCGCGGTCCATCCGGATCGTCAAGGTATTCTGAGGACTGTCACACTTCGCAGAGGATAGTCTGAATACCAACGACCGATCCACAAGTTGGTACCGCTGCCAAAAGCTTAAGATATTGAGGCTCCTGCCTCAAATTAGGGAGTTTGTTTAGAGTAAATTGTTTTATTTAGAGTACATCAACCAACCAGTCTCTCGCGCAAGTGAATTCCCGAGCATTATGTTCTTTTGTTTTTGTCAGTTGCAAATAAAAACCCAAGCAAGATACAACGCACAATAAGGCATTTTACGAGACGTTTCGAGTCAGCTGTTTTTTTTTTCTGTTTACCTATTTTGACGTTTACCAGTGGGCCGATTTGTTGACATACCACGACCAAAATCAAAAAAAAAACATCAGACGTAAACAATTAAAAATGCCTCGAGCGCGTTCGAGTGGCCCGCCAGGAACTGTCATCAAGACGTCACGTAAAATAGCTTATAGTTCGTCGCGAATTTATTTCCGAAAATTAAACTGAAAATTCCGTTTGATATACCTAACAACAAAGAAGATTATTAGAACAATCAATACCAGTTCAATATCCAGCTGCCTAAGATTTTTTTTTAATCTTTATTAAAGAGATTTTTAGCCTTAGGCTAGTTCATCTCTACCATAGAGGTCTCTACTGCCTAAGAAATGTTTTGTCGCATACTTCATCCAGCAACTTAAAACACATCGGCATAACAAAGCAAACTAAAAATTGCTCAAACGTCATTTAGCACATGGAATGAAATAAAGCGAAATGGAACGACGCTAACCTACTCTACTATATACACTTAACCTACTATGTACAAATTGCTTATTAAAGCATGTTCAGAAAGATTGCATTTTTGGATAAATTTGGTTGTCATATCCTCAATTTTGGAATCTACTTTGGGAATTTCTGCCTCTTGATGGAGGTCTGCTATTCTTGTGTCGAATGGACGATCTAGGATCATCCTCAACACTCTATTTTGTGCAACCTGGATTTTGTTCCTGTGGGTCTGAGCGCACGATTCCCACACCGGGGCGGCATAGAAGATCGCGGGGGCTATGATCTGTTTGTAGACAGCCAGTTTGTTTTGCCTTGAGAGGCGGGATCTGCGGCAAATGAGCGGATACAAACACCTAACCAACGCGGAGCACTTAACTAGGGTTTTCTCTATGTGCGAGCGGAACAGGAGCTTCTCATCGAACAACATCCCGAGATAAGTAACATCAGCGGACCACTCGACCCTTGTACCATCCATTATTACGGTACAGGAGGGAGACGGTTTAAGTTTTGGCGATTGTCTGTGAAGGAACATGATCGCTTGGGTTTTCGAGGCGTTGATTTTGATTTTCCACGTGGTGGCATAATCAGTAAAGGTGTCAAGGCATCGTTGGAGCTTGTTCGTAGTTTCACGAGGCATCCTACCCTTGACGGCTATCGCGGTGTCATCTGCAAACAGGAAGAACACGCAACCGTCTCCTAGAGGAGGGATGTCCGACGTGTAGATGCTGTAAAGCAGTGGTCTCAGCAGACTCCTTTGCGGAACACCTGCTGGGATCGGAAATTGTCCCGAAAGGGAACTATTCAACGACACCCTGAACGACCTTTGCTGGAGATAGTTACGGGTGATTTTCACAAGGTATGGTGGAAAGTTGGAGTTACAAAGCTTGTAAATAAGTCCGTCGTGCCAGACATTGTCAAACGCCTTTTCGACGTCTAACAAGGCCATGGCTGTGGACTTGGATACAGCTTTGTTACTTCGGATGTTATTCATCACCCGCACTAGCTGATGATTGGTGGAATGCCCCTTACGGAACCCGAACTGTTCCGGAAGAAGAATGTCATGTTCCTCCACACATTTGTTCAGTCGGCTGAGGATCAATTTTTCGAACAGCTTGCTCAGCGCTGAGAGCAGGCTAATCGGTCAGTAGCTTGACGGTAGTGAAGGGTCTTTCCCAGGTTTGCGGATCGGGATGATTTTTGCCACCTTCCAAATGCTTGGAAAGTAGTGCAGCTCCAAGCATCTGTTGAGGATGGCAGCCAGCAGCGAGTGGACCCTCGGGCTGAGATTTTTCAACGCTAGTTTGAATATTCCGTCAAACCCGGGAGCCTTCATGTTCTTACTGTATTTCAGCGCTGAGCAAATTTGTTCCTCTGTAATCCGTTCTTCTGGAGGGACGGCACAAGGGGAGGCATCTAACGCCTGGACGCACTGCGCAACCTGGTTCTCGAGTGGCCTTGGGATTGTGGAGCCAAGCAAATGCGTTGTCCATACATTGCAAGATGGTCACTTTTATAGAAAACAAGTTTTGCTATCAACAAATTTGGCATGTCTGCAAACAAGTATGTCGAAGTTGCCTAAGTAGACTACGTCTTTAAACCCAGGAAGTTTAATTGAAATCTTAGAGGGTGCTGTCAGCTTCATAGACGCTATGGGATGAATTTCATCTTTTATAAGTCGCTTTAATAGATTTTTTAAAGTAATTGTGGTGTTTTCATGGTTATTTTGGTTTTTGATTTTTGGTTCTTGGTTGTACCCTTTGTGCCAGCTGCTCTAGGTAGAACTTTCGTCTGTTGTTAATACGGTACCATAGGCCCTTGCTGCGTTCCTCTCCTACTACCACTTACTACATTCGCCGTCAAACCGACAATTTCTTCGATTCGAAGTCGCTGCGCTGCGGTAGTCCGTATATAGCATTGAACAGCCCTGGAGACGATCGAGCGGCCTTTAAAGAGTTTACAATTACATTCTTATCATAACTAACCCATTCCATTTCAATGCTTCCAGCTTTACGGCGATCGTGGGAAGGTCTCTCGACAGTCCTTCTACGATACACTGAAGTACCTAGTACTGATCAATCCCCAAGAAGTGGATGCCATCTTCATGACGGCGGATAGTGAAAATTTGGGTGAAATTTCGTTTGGTAAGTCGCACTTTGGCTGAAGCCCCTCTTTGCGTTTCATTCAGTTTTCTTTAATTTTTACTTTCCAGAACAATTCACCAAAGTGCTGGACAAGTACCCAGCGATCCAGAAGAAGCTCCAGAAAAATAACGATCCAAACAACCTAAGGCTAACCTAATTGTGCATACCGCGTGGTAATTTGTTAGTAGCTGTGCCCTTCTTGATGAGATCTATAATTTCATTTTAATTATACAGAAAACACACACACACAAAGATAAATTAGGGAAGTATCATTTTGTGTGAACGATGGCAGAGTGTAATTATCGTCGGAAATCTACTTAAATCCATATGAATATTTATTATTTATTGTGTTTGTAATACAATAAAACTATGCATGTGAAGCAAGCAAACAATGGTATTAAGACCCAAACAAAGTCGCTAAACCTAAAATGTACTTTTCTCAGTTATTACAAGATTTTATGTTACTCTCGAAATAGACGCATACTATAAAACATAGGGCAAATGACTGAACGCTACCCAATAGTGATCTTTTAGTTACAGAGAAGGTAAAATGAAGGGATTGTATGCGATAAAAAAAGATCGAAACGGATATTTGGCTATTCTGATATCAAACCAAAATCAAATTCAGGATCAGGAAACTGAGTGTATAATGCTATTTAAATGGAGAGAAGTGTGTGTGAATCGTGACTAGAAAAAAAAATGATAAAACAACATGGACAGATACAGGAATGTCGATTTGTGTCTAATCTGAGCAGTCTTTCAAGCTTCTTATACGAGAAATCCGTGTCTAGGAAGAACTAGCAAATACCTACAATAACAGCGCTTTATGCATACGTGTTATACTGACAGAGCTGTTTCATGTGACGTATTTTCCGGAGTCAGTCGGTTTTTAGTTAACGTTGTCGTCGAAGGAGTAAATGAGATGTTCAGTCTTATTGTGAAATAAGTACTACTGTAGCTTGTCTCTTCACTGTTTCCGAAATTCCTGTGTAATGGTAAGGATGATATACCTAATAATTTATGTCAATTGTTGACTATAGTAACGTATTTATCAAAGAAAATTTTTAAAGTGTTGATCGCTAATTGAATCGTGACCTTTATTTTCTGTAAAAGCTTTACCATTTTTAAGAAACAATAATAATATAATAGGGGGGGGGGGGGGGTAGGGAGAATATTTAAAGCCCCTTGTCTCTCAGAAGATTTGACTGCATTTCACGTAGTTCAATCACCAAATCGTAAATATTTTTTTAATCAGTGAAAATAGGTATCCCTGCCTAGGAAGGATCTGAAATTTTTTCTTAGTCTTAAAACTATGATATTTGATCAAATTACGCGATCGTTTATTTAAATTTGAAATCGAAGAATTTATACTTACAATCTGTATAAGAGATATCTATGTTTAGTTACAAAATCTTGAAAAAAATATGGGTGTGGGATCTCAAAACTATTTTTGTTTTAACTTTCAGAATTTTAAGAATTCTTCATTGACATATATTTTGAACATTTCCCAACGTCTTAAATATATTTATTCTATGTGCACATAGCCATATTTCAAAGCCAGAAAGTTTAAAAAATTTAAATTAAAAGTCCTAGAATTTAATGTTGTCTATGTCTGAGAACGGTTTTCCCGGGAATCTGACCAGACTGATCAGGGCTACGATGGATGGTGTACAGTGCTGCGTGAAGATATCGGGTGCGTTATCGGACTCTTTTGAAACTCGCAAAGGACTTCGACAAGGCGATGGTCTTTCCTGCATCCTGTTCAACCTTGCGCTAGAAGGTGTTATGAAACGTGCGGGCTATAACATGCGGGCACGATCTTCAATAACTCCAGCCAGTTCATCTGCTTCGCTGACGACGTGGACATTGTCGGAAGAACGTTTCATGCCGTGGCGGAGCAGTACACCAGGCTGAAACGTGAAGCAGAGAAGGTTGGATTAAAGGTGAATACGTCGAAGAAAAAAGTATCTGTTAGCTGGAGGAACCGAGCGGAATAGGGCTCGCATAGGCAGAAACGTGACAATCGACGGGTATGAGTTCGAGGTGGTGGATGAATTTGTGTACCTTGGATCATTGGTGACGTCGGATAACAACAGCAGCAGAGAAATTCGTCGGCGTATTATTGCCGGAAGTCGTGCTTACTACGGACTCCACAAGACCCTGAGGTCGGGTAAACTTCACCTCCGTACTAAATGTACCATGTACAAGACGCTGATAAGACCGGTAGTTCTCTACGGGCACGAGACGTGGACGATGCTCGAGGAGGACCTGCAAGCACTGGGTGTTTTCGAACGACGAGTACTTAGGACCATCTTTGGCGGGTATGGAGGCGAAGGATGAACCACGAGCTGGCACAACTCTATGGCGAACCCTGTATCCAGAAAGTTGCGAAAGCTGGACGGGTACGATGGGCGGGACACGTTTTAAGAATGCCGGACAACAATCCCGTAAAAATGGTGTTTGCCTCGAATCCGGCCGGTACAAGACGAAGAGGAGCACAGCGAGCAAGGTGGTTAGACCAAGTGGAGCAGGATCTTGGAAGTGTGGGACGGTCAAGAAATTGGAGACAAGCAGCCACGGACCGAGTGAATTGGCGTAACATTGTGATGCAGGTGCAATCCTGAGGGATGTCGGACCAGGATAAGTAAGTAAGTATGTCTGAGATTTAGTTGATGATATATATGATTTTTTTAGCATGAGAACTTTCTTTTCATTAAATAATAGTAAGGTACGCCATTATTTGCAGTATTTATGGGACGTAGTGGAAATCTATCCAGCAGGAAAATAAATTAACAAATAGTCTTGACGCCTTTTGATTGAATGACAGTTCCAGATTTACTATTTAACCGTAGTTTATCAAAACAAAAAATTGCCACAGGCCTCCCTAGGCGTCCTCCAGTAAAATTATCTAGTCCGCCTTGTCATTGCCTGTAATCGAGCAATGAGATGGGACCCATTCAAAGGTGATGACAAAAGATCTTAAGGATAAAGCACTTAGAAGCTCTCGTATTTTCATGAGAAAATACGAGGAGTGCTTTACCGGCCTCATGGAGCAAATATTCAGGGTTATTCCATAGTGGTAACTCCAAGACCAGAAGGTCCCGTAGAAATGAGCTCAACTTTTTGGCTCAGCTCTGGTACTATCTTCGGTCCCAAGCTAATCGATGCACCCCTCGAAACATAGGAAAATCCACGAACCCCTCATTTTATCTGCCAAACTTTCATAGCGAATCAAAACAAACATAGTGTAGTACTGGAATTTATACTAGAATGGGGTAAGTTAATCGATTTGCTTGGGACCAATAGGCTAGTCAAGTAGTGAGCCAATTTAAAATCGTTAGTTTCGAATTGATTGTTGGTTATTCTGCGTGGCGAATGAGGTGAGGTGACTGAAGTCACTCGTGTCACCCGATTTCAGCTGGCGAGTGAGGTGAGAAAAGTCACTTGGGATGAACCCGATGAACTCTCACCTTATACCTTGTACAGACATACAAAGTTCGCTGTTGTACTACCGTTGTACCATAAAGGGTGATACGGTCAAAATTTGGTCAATATCAACTTGACGTATTTCTTTCAATTTTGCATTTAAAAAAACCTGAACACCCCTCATTTTGAAGGTGTGTGTGTGTAGAATGTTGCTCCTATTTTGATTTTGGAATTCACTCTTCAGTTGTCAAAATGCCGTCCAAGCAAGAAGAGCAGCGTATCAAAATTTTGCTCGCGCATCGCGAAAATCCGAGCTACTCGCACGCAAAGTTGGCAAAATCGCTAAAAATTGCCAAATCAACCGTTAAAAATGTAATTAAAGTGTTTGGGGAACGTTTGTCGACAGCCAGGACGTGTTTGAATAAACGTCTGCTGCCTTTCCTGAAGAAACACGGTTGTTCCGTACTGTTTTGGCCGGATTTGGCATCTTGCCATTACGGTAAAAAGGCCATGGAGTGGTACGCCGCCAACAACGTGCAGGTGGTTCCCAAGGACAAGAACCCTCCCAACACGCCAGAGCTCCGCCCAATTGAGAAATACTGGGCTATTGTCAAGCGGAACCTAAAGAAGACCAAAAAAACTGCTAAGGGCGAGCAGCAGTTCAAGGCAAACTGGCTTTCTGCGGCGAAGAAGGTGGACAAGGTGGCTGTACAAAATCTGATGGCAGGGGTCAAGCGTAAGGCCCGGCAATTCGGATTTGGAAAAGCGGAAGCCTAACTGAATATTTTTCCTGAATTTTATACTAATTGAACTTGAAAAAGAAATTTAATTTGATTTTTTAAATAAACGATTTTACCGATTTACACGCGTTTTCCCTTGACCAAATTTTGACCGTATCACCCTTTAGAGGTAACTCTAAGACCAGAAGGTCCCGAAGAAACGTGCTCCACTTTTTGGCTCAGCTCTAGTACTCTCTTCGGTCCCAAGCTAATCGATTCACCCCTCGAAACATAGGAAAATCCACTAACCCCTCATTTTGTCTTTAAAACTTTCATAGCGAATCAAAACAAACATTTTGTAGTAGTAGAATTTCGACTAGAATGGGGTACGTTAATAGTTTGCTTGGGACCAATAGGCTAGTCAAGGAGTGAGCCAATTTAAAATCGTTAGTTTCGTATTGATTGTTGGTTGTACTGCTTTAAGCTAGTACCACAAACTGTGCGTTTTGAGGTACTAGATTAAAGAAGTACAACGGTACTAACAACAATCAATACGAAACTAACGATTTTAAATTGGCTCACCACTTTAGTAGCCTATTGGTCCCAAGCAAACGATTAACGTACCCTATTCTAGTTGAAATTCTATTACTACACTATGTTTGTTTTGATTCGCTATGAAAGTTTGACAGATAACATCAGGGGTGTGTGGATTCATGCAGAACATGCAGGGGTGAGTGAAATAGCTTGGGACTGCTTGGGACCGTTGTTCTGGTACTGAGTGAGCCAAAAATAATAATGATTTTCTTCGGGACCCAGTGGTCTTAGAGTTACCTCTATGGTACTAATTTGTATGTCTGTCTGTGGTATTATTCTCACAGTCGTGACAAAAGTCGTACTGAAGTGACGATTTTAAGTGACAAGAGTCGTAACCTCCGCTGCTATCGACTGGATGGAAAACCTTGGAGTTATATAAGCGATGGTTGCGGTTTTCGGTAATTTATTACTTCTAAATTTGTTTCAATCAACTTTTTTATTGTTTCCAGCCAATAATTTCTTCGGCTTCCTCAATATGGGTATTTTTTAATTCGGGGTGACGTGTAGGGACAGGAAACCCATGTCTAACGCCATTTTTAATAACATGTGGCGGCTTCCGGTTGAAGAAAAACTTGAAAATTCTGTCAAATATCCCTCAATATGGGTATTTTTAGAGTTGGGGTGACGTGTAGGGACCGGAAATTGATGTCTGAGGCCATTTGGAATTCAATTTGGCGGCTTCCGGTGTGAGAAAAACTGGGAATTACTGCCAAATTACCCACAGTATGAGTATTTTTAGAATAGAAGTAACGTGTAGGGACTGGACATCGATGTCTGAGGCCATTTTGAATTTAATATGGCGGCTTCCGGTGTGAGAAAAACTTGGAATTACTGCCAAATTACCCACAGTATGAGTATTTTTGGAATCATGGTGACGTGTAGGGTTCGGAAATCGATGTCTGATGCCATTTTGAAATTCAAGATGGCGGTTTCCGGTTAGAGAAAAAATTGGAAATTCTGTCAAATACCCCACAAAACTGATATTAGGATATAGGAACAGGAAATCGATATTTGAGGCCATGTTTAAATTCAAGATGGTGGCTTTCGGTTGGAGAAAAACTTTCTGTCAAATACCCCTCAATATGAATATTTCTAGAATTGGGGTGACGTATAGGGACCGGAAATTTATGTCTGACGCCTTTTTGAATCCAATATGGCAGCTTCCGGCTGGAAAAAAA